TATGTTTAATACAATCTGTTTTTATTGAGAGTATCAGTAAACAGTAATAAGTCATATTAAAATACAGAAATACAATATAATCGTGATCATATCAAATTATACATTTTGAAAAAACAAAATTGTATTACTGATTGTATTAAAGTTCTCCTTTGCAACTTAAACAAATTTAAGAAAAAATGATTATTATATGATATACATGATGGTGAATATAGAGTGACCGTATCATCAGACAAAATCAGTATATCATCAAAACCACCCAAATGTAAGTGTCCTATTTCTTGAAAACTTTTGTAATAAGTTTAGAAATTGTTTATTTTCAGTCAATTAAAATGCATTTTTACACTGAATTTGTATGCATGTTTAATATGAGTTAATGTCAATCTCCAAACCAAAGACGTCATTCGAAAAAAGTAACTTATGGAAATGAGTATAAATATGAATTACTTTGCATATTCAGAATATCAAATTAGTAACAGGGAGTACAAGGGTCATGTGACTTTTTATTTATTCCAAAGAAAAGCAACCTTTTCGACATAAAAAATCCAGTAAGTTTCAAGTATCAAAAGTAAAGCTTGTCAGGAAAAGAATAATTTTTATCAGACGGCGTTTACCCCTCTTGTAATTAAAAATATATATTTGAATTATTCTGAAAAGTCATTTAAATGTAAGAAATGGAATGATACGTAGATCTGATGGACTAAGCTGTACTCAGATGGATAATTATCTGTTAACTCTTCTATCGAGTATTTTAGGGGATGATGATATCAGGTAATTGTGGACTATTTTATACTATTTGCACTATTTCTATTACAAAAACAAATGTTGTATTTCTATTCATAAAATTCATTGTATTAGGAAATATTGAATGATATTGTCATTGAATAATGTGTCTCGTATATATAATGATAAGGAAAGTAAAGAGCACAATATTAACAAAAACTTTGCAAGCATCGGGGTTATTTGTTTACTTTTTGTTCAGTGTTTGTATTAAGACGCACAATCTTCGCAAAAAAATAGCAAAGTATGATACAAGCTTAATGTGTATTTCGTCGTAGATACATATTCTTTGAATATTCAACAAAAATAAAGAACATCCTAATGAAATACAACAGATAAAACAGAAAATGCAGTTAAAATATAGGGATTTACAAACAATTTTTATTCCGCATTTTGACCGAATTAATATTGATGGCTTTTTACTAGAAAAATGTAACTGCAGTTTAAGCAAGAACACAGCCTACTTTTTAAGGATAATTCTAAGTCGTATGGCCAAACAACTAAAATGTATTCGTTTTATTCCAGTCGGTATTAAGAAGTTTTACTATCTAAATTATCATCAAAATGCAATTAATCTCAGAAAATCTACTTATACAACCAATATGATTTTATCAAACGTTTGATTTTGGCAGATATTTTCAACCAACACATGCGATTCAGTCTTGAAAAAAAGGACAAAGAAGGTAGTTACAGTTATATTGTTTACTCCATACCGTAAGGAAATGATTGATCTTTCTTGATTCTAGGAAAAACCAACGTGATGAAAGAAACTTGCTAATTCGTGCTAATTGTTCTGTTGTGTATTGTTAAGGACATTGACGTCGTTTTACTTTGACGAACTGTAGTCTTTTGCAAATATACTTACGCATTGTTTGATAAAATATTTTCTGCAGCGACAAAAAATAAAGTTTAAGATTTCAAACCTAGAAAATGATTTTTGAATGTTGATGGCTATTTTGTATATAAAACTAATTTGACGTCCATTGAATTCTTTATAGAAATGTACAAGTTGGAAATCAACTGTCATTTTGTTTACCAAATACCGTATTAGAAAATTTTAACATGTAATGATAAGTTTTTTATACATACGATTTATCAGTTTTAAAGAGTTCAAAAGATTTTCACACAATTAAATTTTGCGGGTTTCTTCTGAGTCGTGATGCCTTAAACTTTAAAAACTTGACGCTGTAAAAAGTTGCCCCGTACATCACTTCAGTGTTGCTATATTTTTCTGGTCATTAACGGGATCATTGATTCCAGCACTTTCAAGTGTTGAAAATTCAAGTCCGCTCAAGTCGGTGCTAGGGGGCGTGAGGGATTCTTTCCCTCGTGTACAGCAATGAGTATGCAATTATGTTGTGATTAGTGCTACCAGGGATCACACTTTCTCCTGATTTCTTTTATTAATGATTAAATAGCATAATGCAATAGATGTTCCAAGTAAAAAATAGGTATATTTGACTTATGTATTGAAATATTCGACATTAAAAGTAGTGAATGGCTGGTTAATCTGAACTTTACAAATTACTGTTGGGTAATGATGTTATTATGTTTATATTTAACGCAAATTTCAAAAGGTTCTATATTTCTTTAATGAGTTTATAATGATCATACCATATATTGGATGCATAATAAATGTCAATCATTACATTTATGCAACAAGAAGAAAATGTTTTTGCTAAATGGGACATATTTCGTAGTATTTCTTAGGACATGTAGCTTTTTTTACACTTCTGAAGAAGAAATATGGTTATCACATAAGGGACAGCGTTTGAGGTTTTGTGAGTCCAAACTGACAGTCTTTTTTGCAGTAAAACAAGAAAGACTCACAAAACAACTTCTCAGCACTGTTTAACGTCACTTTAACAAAATTTTTATATTAAAGCATGTGACGGTAAATTGTGTTATTTGATGTCATCAACCCTGTAAAAGATTTTCCATGTTAAAGTTATATGCATTTTGAACGACTTTACTTATTTATGAATACAGTTCTTTCTTCCATTTTCAGTTTATCGAAATTTTAAACACATATATCTCATTATAATGGGGTAATAGTAAAGACGGTGTAAAAATTTCAAAAAAAGCCAGACCAGTGACTTTGATAGAAATATACTGAATCGTGACGATGTTAAAATCACGACCTATTACTAATTATGAATTTCACACATGGCTGAGAATTGTACAAGGGAGAGTATCTTACAGCATTTCAGATCTTTATACAACACTAGTAATTTCCCTTGACAACAAAACAAACTTAAAATGTCTTACTGCCCGCCTCTGAGGGAAACATTGCAAACTTTTTATTTCCTTGCAATTTGCGACAATTTTTACAAGTGTATGCAAGTCGTACCAGCTCGCCGCCAATTGCGTTGAAAATGTCTTTATAAAGCACGGGTCAAATATTCAATACAATGTATATATATCAAGCAGTGGTCGATCTGGTTCAATGTCAATGCTACACATAAAGGTCAAAAATTGTCTGAACTGTTCACTGTCCGACTTAAATTCTACTGCCTACGAGTTCCCGAAGCATCCTGTTCACTATTTAAGAAAAAACCTGAAGTAATACCACTTTAAAAGTACATTGAAAATATTTTGTTACAGTGGCATAATTGAAGGATAAGACATATTTTGTCCATTTAACATTGAACTTGATGGACATTCTTTAAAATAACACTATTAGATACTGTCGAAAGTCGGTAACTAAGGTGTTTTATCATGTTTTAAAACTATGCACATTAAAACACGGTGTTTCATCGGTTTAACAAAAAATTACTTAAATCAGCTGTGTGTGACTTAATAAAAACACACTTGTCCCTTTAAAATGATAGCTTTATTCATAAACTTAGCTTTGCCACTATTTATAATTTGGTATAGAACCAGGCCTGTTAAGTCCTCTAATGACTGCTTTAATTTTTGATACCAAACACCCGATTCTCATATGAACCCATCACATTCTATATTTCAATAATGGACTTGTCCAGTTATTATTTTGGAATTGTGCATAATCAGTTTTTTGGGATATTTATATCTAAGACGAAAATTTGAAGTTTGTCGACAAACAGTATAGGGCCTGCTCAAAAGCCGAAGATGTGTCCTATACTGATGGTAAAGGTTTTTCACGTACTGATTTATACAGGACATGTTAGTGGTTACATGTGCGTATTTGATATATGTAATAGTAAGAATGCGTAGGAAAATTCGTAGAACAATAAAAAAATCATTTGAGATAATTCAATTCGTCCCATTTCAAATGCTTCGTATTTATACAATAATCAGAGTATTAGTAATCAGAGAGTTTGTATGTTATATAGTTATATAAAGTGAAGCAAGAAGACAAGCATTTACGTCACCCTAGAAACCTAACTGAAACAAATATTCTACAAAAATGCAATCAAATGAAATAAATAAGTAAATTATTAAAAATTAACATGGTCATTCATTTTGTGGCGAATAAAATATTCTATAGAAAAAATGTATATTAAAAAGTCCACGTTATACATATAAAACTTGATTGAGTAGTGTGATATGCTTTAGCGCCTTCATGAAGACAATATCTAGTTAATATAAAACCGGGGATCAAATATAACTACTAATAGTCTTATTTTAATAAAAATCGACGCACGCGAAACGTTTATGAAGTAAAGAACATGAACAATAACTGCACATAATTATTGTCTTTTACAGGCTTATGTATAAATAAAAGTAAATATAGTTAAATAACACCATTACTTCTTGTTAATGACATTTTACTCATGATGATGTCAGTCAGTCGGTTACTAGGTAATAAAAATAAATATGACCTTAATTTATAATGTTTATTGTTATTTCGTCATGTTCACTAATTGAATAAAAATAAAGTAAGTATGATTAATATATACATACATTTGTTTATGTTATACTATTTAAATACGTATAACGCCCAATTTTTAAGTGAATAAAGGGTCTCTTAATTTTAACATCACGAAAACACAACAGAATTGTGTGACACATTAAAATAATATACAATAGTGTCCCGGTTTAAGACCCATTTTGAAATCTAAATGAGTCAGACTTTAAATGTTTATAATACTTTCACAGTCCTATGAAGTCTCCGTCTTAACGCCTTTATCCTTCGCTCTCTTTACTAATTTTAATAACACGAAACTACCTGCCAAACATTTTGAAACGCTTAAGTGCTTCTGGTTGAAAAAATCCACTAACGATCAAAAACCATTGAATTACGTTTTCCGATATTGTCAATATGAACTGGTCACGGTGCTGTGACTTCGTTAAAACCTTTTGCGATTGACTGAATGCTGTACTACTGTAAAATATTAACGTGCACGCGTTGAGACACGATGATTGGAAGGTTAATATTTGCTGCTTCTAACTATAGTGTTTTTAAAACCTGAAGAACAAGTTTTCCTGGTTTTCTTGATGATATGAATAGCATGAATTCAAACTTGGATATACCTGGGGGAACAGCGCCAAGGTATGAGGCAAAAGTTTTGGACTTTAAAATCACAACATAGGAATCTGTTTTGAAACATTTTTCTTATTTCTTTAATATACTCTAGTGAACACAGCTGATGGGATTTAAATTTATTCAGGTTTTACTATACGTAAGCTAGATTTATTTCTTATGATAAATTCTCCTACTGGAAATAATTCATGGTCTATAATTATACAGACATATGATACTGTCACTCATTATGTTTGCGTTTTAAGGGTTGAAATAAAGACTGATTTTATCATTAAGAAAAGAAGTTAAAGAAATATAAAAAAACAAGGTTTAAAGTTTTGTCTAAAGTTTACTAACAGTGGGTCGATGTTAGGATAAACATATAACTATATAACATGTTACAGTATTATATGTGAAACATAGGTAATACATACTAGGAGATTCAGAAAGTGACTCTAAGACTAAATTATGAACATACATACGCAACTCCTACATTATTTGTGATGTGTCTTTTAGTTGGATTAGGTCATTGGTCATTTAGACGATTGGAAGATTTCCTTTAACTTGTTAACTGTTTAAGACTAATGCAAGGGATCTTTGGCTTAATATCCATGTTTAAGAAACAAGGTTAATATACATCTAGCTATACTAATAGAGTTTGTTTCTGCTGAATGCCCATTTGAATTCAATTATTGCATTGCTTGTTATTATTTTGGGAAATATTCGTTTTGATAAATCGATATGATACAATACAAAGTGGCTACGTTTTATGTAACATTTAAAATATCAGTCTGACGGGTACAACAGAGTTTATTGTATTATCTGATGAATGGGTATAATACAAATCACATGTACAGCCCGGGGGCTAGATTTCTGCCGCTGATTTTGTTTCGTTTATCAAAGGTCCGAATATAATATACATGTATAAGACTGTTACAGCGTTATGAACTTGTATACATAGTTATGTGTGGAATACACAAGGTCTGGACAATAGATTTTATAAATCTTTGTGTGAGAAAAAAATGGATAGGTTACTCTGCTGTCAAGGTTGATACGGGTGATTAATAAAAAGCCAAGCGGAATGAATTTTGGATGTATGACCTTCTGTGTAAAGACGGGCTATTATATTAAATAAATCGCCTGTGAAACATTTTAAACCCAAGAGTTAAGGTTTCAATAACTGGTGCATGCAATTTAGATTTTTAACAAAACAAAAATCAAAACAGAAAATGTGTTGAATGAATTTAGTACAGTCTGCCTTAATGGTAAATGGTATTGATCACTAAGATAGTTGACAGAGGTCTAAATATCAAAAATACAAGCTACCGTCATCTTTCTATTCTATTCCATTCTTTTCTGTTTTTCTCTGTGCCGTTCATATTCCCATCTATTCCATTCCATTCTGGAGGGATGACAGATGTGTACACATGTATTAGGTCATTAGAAAATGTAACTGATTATATCTATATCTGTAGGGGAATTCGGGGTAGCATTACTAGTAGTTATACCCTTGTATATGACAAGATTGTTTCCAGTTGCACATATACATATGATATACATGTACATTTCCATACAATCATAATCACTTAATCTTATTGTCAGGTAGGCGTATATAATTGGTTTAAGTTATTAAAACAGTGGTTTTAGTTATTAAAACAATTTAATTCCTCAATGTTATAAATCCTTATGTAATATAACCTTTTCCGCTTGTTTTTGTGTGTACCACATACTTCTTAAACACACCTTGTCTAATCTGAAGACAAACTAGTAAACAATGCATTTTAGTACGTTTTTAAAACTAATAAGATATTAAATTATCCAGGGATGAATCAACAAAAAGAGAGAAAAAAGGATAAATACTGGTTCAAATTTATGAATAGTTTTTTTTCTACCCTGGAGAAACAAAATCTTAGCACATTGTTTTTATGGACCAAAATTTTAAGTTAAAATTCATTGAACTCATTTATCATCCCGTTTAACAGGTGAACATAAAATTCACTCGAGTCGTAATTAGACATTAATTGCTTAATTGTAATAAATTAATGCAAAACTTCTCGCTACGTAACTTTATAATGATTGACATCGTTTTCGTCTTTCATATGTTTTCCTTTTAAAGATTCTTTTGTGCGTTAAACAATAAGTATTCATTATTCTCTATACAAAATACTTTAAATTTCTCTATTCATTGTATAGTTAAACTTTTATAGGGAAACGTGTATTTTTTTCTTTTTGTAAGACATTTTGAAAAGAATGATATGTGGGAAAGAGAATGTTTTAAAATGAGATTTAATGATGCACATTTCGCGTTTTAAACCAGATTAAAGTAAAAAAAAAAAAGCTCTGCGTCGCTGTACGAGAAATAGATACATGTACATGTATATATATATAGCTGATTAAAGTACAGCCAAACACGTTTGTTTGAGGCCCCTCTACAGAGAACACGTTAAAATTGAATGAATATCAACTGATCATAGATTTTTGTGTTATTTTTTTTCTACAAACTTTTCTACACGAGAATATGTGACATCCTTTCTTTACCATGAAATGCACGAAATATTATTTTGAAGAAAAAAAAGATATATGCTAAACACTAAGGTTGAGTTTCCAATTAAAAAAGCTTCACCATACCGTTATTATTTCGGCTATGTTAGGACAATCAGCTAAAAATAGGGACAGTTGACCAGACAACTTTGCACGATTCTTTCGAGATTAACGAATATGTGGAGAATAATTTCGCATACGTAATAGGTGTACATTTGTTGTGTATACATAAATTTCAACATGGACTGGAGGGAAGTCCTTTATTGGTCAGCAAATTTGTCAAGAATAACTGCGTAAGTTTGTTCTTTATATATTAAGTAAGATAAAGTCTACATTAACAGTGGTTATAGGGGTTTGGTGCATTACATATGAAAGATATAAGAATTCAACCGTTTTACATGTTTTCTAAACAACTAACATAATTGACATCCATTTGTCCATAGGATGTAAACGCGAACTGTTACTTTCCCTTAATTTGCTGCATTTATGCCGTGGCATTTTCCTGATTTGAACACTTTCGGTTCAAGCTGTGTTCGGGTTAATTCTCAAGAAAAACTTAATTTTATGCGAGGTAAAGCTTGAAAACTGAGGCCTGTTAGGAACACATCAAAATGCACGTAAGCTTACCATGGGACAAAAGACTATATTATGTTGATTTCTAAAGTGTTTTATCACATGTCTACTGTGAATTATGTAAGTGTAACCATCCAAAAGTTTTTTAAATGCAAAATGTTAGAAATTGGAGACAGCAATTGACATAAAAATTGGTTACAAGTTACCCGCTCAAATCAATTGAAAGAAAATCTCATAATATGAAACATTTCTCTCCTAACTTTCTTCTATTGTGTTAAAAATTTAGATATTTTTATTGCTTGAGTCACACGTTGTTTGCATTTTGAGACAGATTGAATTAGTAGGTGTTTGAAATTGTTTTTTTCTGTCTCACAAGAATTAGTCGAGAAATAAATGAGCCGCGTCACGACAAAACCAACATAATGGGTTTGCGACCAGCATGGATCCAGACAAGCCTGCGCATCCGCGCAGTCTTTTTAGGATCCATGCTGTTCGCTATCAGTTTCACGGATGCGCAGGCTGGTCTGGATCCATGCTGGTCGCAAACGCATTATGTTGGTTTTGTCGTGACGCGGCTCAAATACAGATATTTGCATTTTCAAAACATAAAAATTGTATTCCATTTTTTTTTATTACAATCACGAACGTTATACCTACAAAATGAATTATTTTACTTTAAACTGAAATTTATTAAACAAGAACAATATGATTATTTGACACATTATTATGGTGTTTTATCTTATGTCATAGAGTCTGTAGTTTTGATTGCAGTTTAAAAAAATCATAGTGTAAAATAAACGAAAAAAGTCGCGTCCTATGTTGTCAAAGACAAATTTGTATTACATCGTAAATTGATTTCATCAAAAATGATAACAATGCTTTCAACGGATGCTGTGTTCCAACAACTATGCCTCAATTGCTTGTAAACAACGTGTGTCGTCTGCAGAGAGTTTAGAATTTGTCCCACAGAACTATTTATATCCGGTTCATAAGTACACTTATTCGATTTTCTCGATTGTTTTTTAATCGATCTCCAGGTTGTCACAGGACAAAAATTCTTCCTAGAAAATCAATCAGAATTTACAATCATGAGAAAATTGTCATCCGAATCAATAAGATGCTTGTAAAGTTTATTCCAAGCATCTAAACAAACGGTTGTTATTGGTATCTAAGCCTTATCCAATCCCCCGTTGTGGCCATCTAGAATTTCAAGTTATGCATTTTACGCCATGAAATATTAATATTATTTTAAGGATGATCTGGTTGGATCTTTGTTTTAACTTTTTATATTTTTGTTATTTGCATGTACAGTTTAAAATCAAGTCATTTACAAAAAAATCTACAATATTTATTATGGCATTTTTTTTGTGGTTATTGGTTGATTAAACATACCTGATTGTTGTTTTGTATACATCTCCATGGAGTAAATCCCTGGAATGACGTGCAGTTACGTAACAATATAACACAGAATTGTTTAATGAAGTCCCTTTCTATAAAATGATCAGAGACGGTGCTTTTGTGAGAATTTGATACTAGTATATAGAATATTATAGCCTATTTATATATACGCTAAGGTGGTACCCTTCGCTGGCTTTCTGTTGCTTGCCCCTCACTTGTTATGTGATTGGATTCCGTCAAGGGACTCGGATTCTATCTTGCTATCCAACTGACTAGTGCTTAAGGAAAGTTGATGGTTATACTCCGGGGCCCACTTGTGCCCAAACAAATGCGCGGGAAGTTGTTGTTCAAAAGTGTTCGTGCGACAAAAAAAATGTGCGCGTATGTGTCTGTCACACAAATTATTTATTTGTCAAAAAGGCTCTGAGCGTTTTAGAAATGGAAAGAGCAAATTTGGACGTTCTTATTTTACATGATATTATATAATAACATGTACAAAATTAGTATTATACTGTGAA